CGGATGGTATGGAGAGACCGTGGAGAACCAGCCACAGAGCTGAACAATGTCGAAGAATGTTTTGAACACGCACTTAGAGGTGGTGCCCGTACGTTTTCTTTAATTCAAGAAATTTTTTTGTCCGAAGCAGGTCTCTTGCCCCAGAGTGTTGCGTATCACTCTTTCGGAGTTTTTCACGTGATAACGGGGTTGCATTTTTTTTCTCAATCCAATCTCATCGCTACAACCCCATTGACTTCTACGTATAGGTGCCGCGGGTCTAGGCTTTAGCATCCGGTCCGGTGTCAATATCTTCCTGCTCATTTTCAAAGTTTTCCGTACACCGAAGTATGACTACCTACTTCAACTAAAATGACAGATAATTGACATATCGCTTTCGTCAACAGGTCTTTTCGATTTAGTTTGATTAGACATGCCCTTCTTGGACCTGATAGCTTCAAGTTTGCCGCCATGCTGGGCACATTCGTCACTCTTTACAAGTTGCTACTCAACACACTACCATTATTCTCCTCCCATCTTTCTGATTTCTCACCTCCATTACTCCCATGGGGGGCACAGACACCAGTCACCCCTGCCGGATATGATTCTGATCCGAACTGGAGCTTGCTCACGCCGAGCAATGAGAAAGGTCCAATCAAATTCAACCTGGGAGATGATACCGAGGATAGGCCCGGGGAACCGCAGATTGACCCCAGTAACATCAAGGCGAGTATCTTTCATTTACAGATGAACAAACCACTTATACTAGCGTGTAGACCAAACTATCAAAGCAAGCGAAAGCACATGAGATTTGGATTCGCAAGAAGGGTAGAAGGTGGCATGCCGCTCTTGCTGGTACGATTGCTGGTGGACTTGCAGTCCTGTGGGAGAAGAGGGAAAGGCGGCTCGGTATTGCGCAGCAAATGTTTGTTCGGTACGTGACCTATGCTCTTCAACAGATGAACCACTGATTTAACGGAACGCAGTGGATTACAGGGCTCGTGGAATGCGTTCTCAGCCAAGAAAGGGATCAAGATACCGTTTGGTTCCGTTATTGTCTTCTCGATGTGGTATGTGGATCGCAATTTATAGTGACGTCGAGTTTAACCCTGTATACACCAGCTGTGGCCAGATAATGTACTCGTGGCTACTTCGACCGGATACAATACCAAGATCGTATAGTTTATGGATCGGGGAGGCGGCTAAAGTCCTCCAGCCTACTGTTCTCATCAATCGAGCATTTACAAGAACTGGACAGCCTGATCCCAAGAATATGCAGGAGCTGATTGATTGGAAGGTAATTTGGTCCATCTCCTAACAGTAGGAAATATGAACTCATCCGGACATCATACCTAGTTTACCACTCCTTCTAATCGGACCAAGATTGCACAAGTTATGGCACTCACTGCGACTGGTCCCATTGAACGTCGATTCAGCAATTGTGCAGAGACCCACCCTTGGCTTGATTCCTGCACATATGTGCAAATCGAGCGGTTCCTTGAGGTCTTCAAATGGATGTTCCCAATATATGGTGCTTTACATTTCGTTCCTGCTTTGCTCTTTAAGCGAAAGGAGTGGGCCAAGGACGCTCCAGGTATGCTGTGGAAGAATCTCCTAGGAACAGGCAGAAGTTCGACCTTCTTGGGAGTCTTTGTCATTATCTACCAAAGTAGGTTCTATATAACGCCCTCATCTGAGCATTGTTCATAATAATTTTCAGCTTATTTCTGCTTGCGCTCAAATCTCTACGACCAACTTTTGAGGATCAAGTCTGATTCCCCAGCATTCAAACTCTTCCGTAGCCAGATCATTGGTCATAAGTACACCCTGTGGATGGTAGGTGCTTTATGCGGATTGTCATTGTTAGTCGAGGCACCAAGGAGGAGAGCGGAGTTGGCTATGTACGTCATGCCAAAGGCCTTAGAAAGTGCATGGGTTACTGCACGTGGAAGAGGATGGGTGCAAGGAGGTGGCCGTGTCGGAGAGACTATCTTGTGCGCCGCTGGTATGGGAATGGTTATGGTATGTGTTGTCCCCCCAGTTTTTTTCTTCGGGGCTAACTTCGAACCTGTGCACTTGCATTTCATCCACTATTTCTAGAGCACATATCAGGTAAGCAATGTCTTTACCACGACGAGACTTGTACTGACTACTGTGGATAGAATGACCCTCAACACCTTTCAGGGCTTGTGCGAAGAATTTTATACCAATTTATTGGACCTAATTAATAACAACACCACACAATTCAATTACAACTTTTACATACTAGTGTGACAGAGTTATGAGATGTTACTGAAACATGGTCAAGCGTCCATTTGGCCACAACTAAAGTGCGAATCATGAAGCGACCCTTCGATTCGGCAAGCCCCTTTATCCACTGCACCGCTCTCCCACTTCATAGTGGCGTTTGGAATGTACCATTCCTCCTTCAATACATTTCCCCTTTACATATCCCACTCTTCGAGCATGAACGAGAGCACCGCAAAAGTGGACGCAACCTCGTTCGACCCACCTGCAAGGACATCAACTGCCTTTTTAACATACTTAACATGCCCTTGTAGTTCATCCGAGATCCTGTCCATTTTGACCACGAAACTCTCCTCGGCGAAAGACACAGAGTTCACCAGAGATGGCCTACCATATCTCGACACGTCCTGTAAATCCACTTCCTTCTCGTCTTCTGCGATTTGACCCTCATCGTCGGAGGATGAAGAACTGGCGGAGACAGCATCTCTATGATCCGAGAACCCAACGATATTCCGACGCGCCAATCTTGCTCGTCGTTGATGCCGTTTTCTTTTCTTTTTGGCATGTGTATCGTCGGGTTGTGGGACTACTGCTGGATCCTCCTGGTCTCTCTCCATCTGCACGGAAAGGGAGTTCACGAAATGTAATGCCAGATCTAAGATGGCAAGTATAGAGCGATGCAAGGCAATCGTTTTACTTTGCAGGAAACATAATTTTTGGAGCAGTGCCAGGCTTTGAGAAAGTCAGGATCAGCTCGCAATTGAAAGAGGAAAGGCTCACTGATGATCATGGAGGGCAATCATTTCATCTAAGGACTTCGCTTTTCTCAACTGATCATGGAAGGGGCCAAGTCTGGCTCCAATTACCTGTTCGGTTTCAATGGAATAATTCCTTCGGTTATGTAGTCTACTTACGTGTGTGATAATGAAATTAAAAAGGGAACTATTCAAAGAATGTGAGCACCATTATAACTTTCCTACAAATTTACCCACTTGATTATCCACGCAAACTTGCTTCGTAGAGCATAAGTGAAGTTCGGATCGTTCTCTTCGTTCCGGGTTCCATTTCTCCACTCACGGTTATGAAGCAATATCCTATCTATGAGCGCTTTGGACCTCCTTATTTGTAGGAGGAATATAAAAACAGAAGAATACACGACCGCGCTAGGTCTCCGGAGCAGGTATGTTAAAGGGTATGATACCTTTCGGGGATCAAAATCGCTCGTGAGCTAGTGTCATAATTTATATAGGAAAGGGGCTCACTAAATATTCTACTTTGAGTCCATCAAAGCACCGGACTGTCAAGGTATCGTTTCTTTCTCTTCCTCCTCGTACATGAAATTGTACGAGCTCAATATTTATCCACGGGACCCTATCTACCGAAGATACAGATCGTAGGTTTCCGTTGAGGAAATGTAGGTCGTGCCACTTTTGTTGTGCGTCTAGCTATATAAATCATGATATAAGTGCCTCAAGTAAGCCTATAATAAAAATACCCACCTTCATGAAAATGTTGTCGCAGAATGTAGTCATTGCATCCCCTCGCCGCATGAAGCACATATTTTCCAGGCTGAACAAATGTTCTTGTAGAGAGCATTCCTCAAATAGAAGTCTATTTAGAGCAGAGTGTGCAGCCTGGCACCACCTCATTACCCTATCCTCCATAATCGTTTGCATGCTCTCTATTGTAAGCCTCATGCTGTAGGTTTCGTCGGGCGTGAGTGGGTCATATTCTGTTGCTACAGGTGGTGTTATCGAAGAGCTTGACGATGCCGTAGCCGCCGATGAAAACACCCTTTCAAACCCTTCCCATTGCCAAGTGTGAAGAGAAGGCTCCGTTTCTTCCGAAAATGGGTCGATGCCTAGGCCACGGAGTAGCCCAACGGCTTTCCCGGCTCCAAGGATATCTTTACTCAGATCTAAAAAAATGTTCGGGATCAGCAGTGACCCCCCATTCGCATCGTCACCTCCCTCACGATCTTCTTCACCTTCTCCGCGCAAAGTATACCCTTGCTCCCAAAAGTTGGGATCTACAAATTCGATGTCCCTCTTCTCTATGAAGAGCTCATTGTTTTGTGATCGCTCTTGGGAATCATCTAGGTCCATATTCTCCCCGATTCCTATAGTCATCCCATCTTTGAGCCACTCTCCAATCCCGTTCCAGACAGGTGCGGCTGCATGTATAAATATTTCAGAAAGTTTGGAAGCCGTAGCAAGCTCTCCAATAGCTAGTTGGGTTTTTATCGATAGTACGAGGGAGTCGAGGAGTCGCTTAGCAACAATGTGCGGGGGGATTGAGGTGAATGCTCTTGCTCTGAGGAATCCTACTTTTGATACGTCGGTTCGATGGTGTGTAGCATCATCCTTGTTGATCTCCCGCCTCACGACATCTAGGAGAATCTCTTGAACTATTCCCAACGCAGATGTCATCTTTTCTTTCATTTCGTGGCAACGCCCCAAGGATCATGCACCTCAGTAAAAGCGTCTACGATTCCATTCTACTGGAATTTTGTTTTGCTGCCACCAAGCTTCAAGAGATGCGTTACTTTATTCGCTCGATATACTCTATGCACGAAGAGGAGACACGAAAGTACAAAGCAAAAAAATCT